TGGGATTCCATGTTGAAAAGTCATGTCTCATCTGGTGTTTCAATTGGAAATACGTGACTCTCAGCCACTGAGGCAGAGCAAATCAAAATACAGGGACGTCTCATGGCAAACTTGGTAATACGCTTCGCTGTTCAGAACCAACTTTCTATTCTTTTCTATTTCTCACCCACCTTCAGTCAAAGTGGAAAAATAACAGGTTTTACTTTAGCCAACAGGCATCGAAATATCCCTCATTATTTTTAATACGTCCTTGTTTAGATGAAACAATGTCATTGTGAAAATGGGTCAGTTTTTTTAGCAACTTACATACATACATAGTTCAGTTCATACAGGCACAGTCATTCACTGAGGTGTCCAGTCAAATATTTATGGGAATCTCTCTAACTATACAGCTTAGCTAGATCTACGTAACCATGGTTGCAGTAGCCTTCACAATCCATTGCTCTGAAACTGCTCATTCTTATAGTGAGAACAAAAAATTGCTTTTCTGTGATATTTCCCTTCCATGATCCAAAACTTTCAACTGACAACATTCACAAAGAGTTCTAAACACAGTTACTTCTAAAAGCAATGATGAGCAATGGTCACCTGTGTGGTAATCATAAAACAAAAGCAGCGGTTTCAGACGTGCACTATACACTATACAGTGTGGAATTCTTCCTTCACTGGTTGCAGTGCATGCATGTGTTCTGTAGTGTCAGAGAACGAGAAAAACATTTCTGCTTGCATGTTCCTATACACTCGAGTATGCGTGAATGCACGTATGTGTCTGTTAGTCTAAGAGCATGTGTACATAGTCTAGTAGGAAGCCTTTGACCAAAAATTGAAGAATGACAGAAGCTTCTGTCTTAATCTCAAAAGTAGTACTGGAAATGTATTTATCAACATAGGGTATATAAAATGCATTTCATTTATCAAAATTGGGTACAGAAATGTAGGCAACACAGCTGTCGTGAAGAACACACACTTTGCTACTGAGAAAAGCTCATTCAATGTGAAGACTACAGCAACCAATCAAAAACCATCTTACTTTGAGTACCTGGAATGGCCCTTAGAATATTGGTAGCCACTGTCTCTTACGACCTGGCGTGCGAGTGGGAACAAGTCCTCTCTTCGAGTTAACAGCGCGGGCATTAGCTTACATAATTGGGCTGCTCCCTCGTTCACTGAGATCTAAAAATAAAGAATGTTTGTTTGTATTCCATAGTTAAACAGTATAAGATGTCATCACTCCAGCTATTTTACAGAATAAAAACTTTTAAGTGTTTTTAAAAAGATTTCATAAAATGATCAAACTGATTATATTATCACTGAAAAAAAAAAAGGCTGATAACATTTTTCCTCGCTTTCTCATTTATTTCTTACAGCTCATGATATCTTAAATGGACTTTCAGACACCAATACCCTGTTTAATAAGGCAAATTACAAATGAAATTAAATGGATCAGGTACCTCGTGCAAGGACATGGGCTTGTCGTTCTTTCTCTTAGAATCAAAGCGCCCATAGATAGCAGCGTACTTCCGTACCAGATCCATGCGGTCTGGATGACTGGGATCCATGTTTATCACCTCCTTAAAATAAATCATAGAAATAACGTCAATCCACCATTACACCTTATACATATTACTTCAAAGACATTGTATTGGAATGTCTGAAATGGTATGGAACATACTGCCGCTCAGCTTGCATCAAATATTGTCAAAAGATGGTTTTATAAAAGAACTGAATACATATCTTTTAAAAAAAATAACAACTGAAGTTGTTTTAAGTGTAAATGTTATTTGAAAAGCATCCTTTAATTTGACTTTGTAACTATGGTTTTATAGCTTGTTTTTGATATTACAATATTTTAGCATTTCATCGTAAAATCTACTGAACTTTTAAGGATTTTAGCATTTCATCGTAAAATCTACTGAACTTTTAAGGATTTAAGTCTTTAAATTAAGAAATATTATTATTATTATTATTATTATTATTAGAAGAAGAAGAAGAAGAAACCATGAAGAAATGTCTATGTGGACTTGAAACCGGGGATCTGAGAACCAAGAAAAGAACCATGAAAACTTTGGACTTCTAATCAGAATTGAAACAAAAATGTCTGAATTTAGACTCTGACAAATATAGGTCATTATCAATTTAAGTATTGCAATTTTTGAATCTTATCTCAAAGTAAAAATAACGAGGAAAATAAGTGGTGAGCTATTAATATGTTAAATTTGTCAGGTTAAAAAAGGACTAAAAACTGGATGGACAGAAAAAAAAGCTGATAAATTCAATGTTTTCATTGCCTTTTTCCCTTAATTTAAAACCCCTTATGTTATTTTTTACGGTTAAAACATTCACACCTGTCATAAAAGGTTTAAAACAATGTGCTACAATTGGGCCAGCATAGATTCAATGCACGAATTCCAAAGAGAGTGAATCGAATATCTGTATTTCATATTTACCATATAAAAACAGTCTACCATTACCAAGGACTCTCTCCATACAAAGGGTTTCTGCTGTGCTTTTTCATTTTTCTTTCTTTTATTTTTATTTATTATTTTTTTATTTTTTATTTTTTGCATTTATTATGTGAGATACTGTATTTTCCAGGAAGATTTATATACACTGCTCTATCTGCATATTAAACAAAGAGCTCCACGAGTTTTTATCTTCTAAATCACCCTCATACATTTTCATTTCATTTTTTTGCACTTCAACTCGCTATAATGTCATGGCCAAATAAAGTAAATCTTAATCACGAGCAATTCTTCTCTTTAGTCTGCTTGAAAAATAAAGAGCTTATTACCATTCCGTCATAATCACACCACCCATAGACCAAGGCCATATAAGCTCAAATAAAAACCAAGCCAAAAATATCCCCGCACAGAAAGCCATATCATTCATTATTTCTCTCTCCTAACCATACTCCAGTCGTATCACTTTAAAGTGACGCAGTTTTGACGCACTGCTTTTGTGACTCATTTCCTGAGCCCACCCCCATAAAGAAGAAAAAAAAACTCCACACTGCTGTTACATACAAATTTAATGCGTCTTACTTTCATCTTACTTTCTCTGTTGATATGTTTATACAGATCGTCTGTGGAAATTTGATGAATCAATTCTCGTTTCTTTAATTCAATACAAAACAAATGGGACTTCTACAGATGTCACGAAAGGAATGTTTGGAGGTGGGGGGGGGGTACTTAATTCCACTTCTTTCATTTTGCCACGTTGTCACTGTTATATAAAATGCTTTTAATTTGTTGGTCTACCACCCACATCAACAGTTCCTTAAAAATATTTGTATTTTGGAAAATCAATATTAAAAGTGAAACATAATACAACGGTACTGTACAACACACACATATTCATGCATGAATCAGAGTGCTTTTTATATGATAATCTTTTCTTATTAACTATCATCTGACAACAAATCCGGTAGATATCTACTAGATTATGCGTACCATGTCCAAGAAGTCACCTGTTATCTCATATAACTTCATGTTGCCACTACATGTATCAAGGAAGGTAGAACACCAGCAAACAACTTGTGAGATAATACACTGTCACTCAAGCAATATATGCCATGAACACCTCTCTCTCTGACACCCTTCAAGGCACATTTTGTGAGAGGGTGTCTGTTTATATATCACTTGACATACATACCATGAGAAAGTGCTAGTATTTCACGGAAAAACACCCCTTAAACTGAATAAAGTCTACATTTCCGCAGTCATGTAACATCTCTAGGTATGTATTTAAGCTTATTATGTCAGGGCTAATCAGCCACAGTCTTAGACTTGAGACAAATTGAGTCAAAAAACCCACCACCAGTTCTCTTAGTGCTATGAAATCTTTGGTAAATTGCTTTTATCAATTGTATGGTGATTTTTATTGTGTTCCTGTAAGTGTTTCAGTGTAAGTGTAAACACACCCTTTGAAATGATAAATTTGGAAAGCAGATGGGACGTGTGTCAAGAGTCGGCCATCTTGGTTCAGATCTACAATGCTCCACCCAGATAAACTCGTTCCCCTTTCTAGTGTTAAGTATTCTATTTTTACTACATGCAAATATTTAAGTTTCCAAGTCTATGGTGGAACCTCCGCATATAAAGTTATTTTTATTCCGGAATTTTTTGTTACTATTATTATTGGGTGCAAATATCAAAAGATAAAAAAATTCTTATGAAATTCATCAAACACCCTTAGAAAAAGTAATATTCAAAGTAATTATCTTCAAAAATAACAGAATGTTTTCGTCACAAGATCCCCCCCCCCCCCCACACTACCTTTCAAGGCAAAAGCTAACAGAACTACACGGTTGTCATCATTCCTCATCTTCAGAAACTTCTCCATGAAATGAAGCAAAGGAAACAAAAGAGATACCAGTCTGACAGTGTAGTCTATAAAAGTCTTTTTAACAAGTAATGCACAAGTAATGCACCCTTTCCCCAATGCCTCGGTGTAAGTTTTCCTCAATTCCTATGGTCAGGTTTCAGTCATTTCCCTCTCCCCCACACTCCAACAATAATGGGTTCTTTGCATGGTCTGAACGAAGAAGTGGGCGGTGAGGAAAAAAATCAAATGTGGTTTTGTGCACTTTTTTTTGCAGTAGAACTATTGCTACCTTACACGCTTTTATCTGCTACCAAAAGTAATAGTGACTTTTAATTTTTTCCTTTTGTTTAAATGAAAATGATGAAATAATAAACTGTTGCAGAAACATTCAGTTATTCATAACGTTTCAGCTTATGGTAATGGCTTGAACATTTCAACCAGAAAAAATTAACAATTTTTCAAATACATAATTTAGGAATCATAAAAAATACATTTCTGTGAAGCATTTTATGAAAAAGAAATATTAGGTAGTCTGCTTTTCAATTTGTTGTTTCCACTCAATAGGAATGTTTTAATTTTATGAATTTATTACTTGAAAAAATTAAGTTTCTATAAAATTCACAAATTTCCCAGTTGAAATTATTGAGTCAATACCATATTGATAAATTTTATTTTCAAGAGTCTAGCATGAATCATGGTTTGTAATATTCTATTTAAACACTTACATATGAGGTAAAAAATGAATGTTTGCAGCTAAGTTTCAATGTGGATAAGTTATCAGATTTTATTCATTAAGCACAAAGTCTTTTTTAAAAGTGTAAGCCTTCAGTTGGCATCTGTCCCTCTATATAGCAAGTCCTTTGCAGCTCCAAGTGCCTACTTTTTTAAACAGGAAGTTCTTAAAAACACACATTAAGAAAAAGAGAAAAAAGGGTTACAAATTATTTCCCACAGTTTTCCCTCCCTTTTTAGAAGTGGCACTGCATGTGAATGAAGTGCTTTCTGCTTCTCAATTGGCTTTATATAAAATAAAGTGGGCCCACTCAATATCCCATTGCTTAAACAGTTCATATTTGTACAAATTTACTTTGATTTGATAAGAACCGTTTTGAATTATATTTGAAAATTAAAATAATTCTAGATGTGATGCAAGCTTCAAGGTGTTATATGAAACTAAATGCAGCTAAATTTACACCTCATTTCTAACCAGTTGATAAAAAAACTCTTACAAAGAGAACTATAATTTTCCAATTTCTCCTTTTATTAACCCTTTCCATATTCCAAAATGTATTTCCAACAAGCTGTGTACACAGGATTTCTAACCACCCTGACTAGAAACAACAAAATCAAATCAACTTAAAAAGCAAGCAATTCCCCCAGTGCAGATAAGCTGGGGTCACCATTACAACCATTTCACTTGACAATATGTTCCAGTGAAAAAAATTCCCCACAGTTCTCTTCAACATTTCTTGGCATCAGAATAAGATTATTAAATTTTAATTCTGGATATTTATAACATATCAATAACAAGGATGCTGCTAATATTCATTTTCGAAATTATTTTTTAAAATAGTGAAAAAGATAATGCAATAACATATTTAATGTAAAATGCTGTTTTGAGCCACTGCATAAATGCTCTGTTATGCACAATAAGTTAAAACAGCTGCATTTTGCAGGAAATTTTTTACAAAATTTTTTGAAGTTCTTTAGGTACTCAAATATAAACAACCTAAAGAAATGACTGACAGTTGCAAAGCATGGTGGGTAAATCAAAGGAATGAGAAAACATCATGTAAACAACATCATGTAGTTTTTAAATATTGCAAAATTGTTTTTGCAATGATCTTGATAAAATTTGAGTGTAATAACTACAAAAACTGACAATTTTAACAATTCTCTAACAATTCATTTCTAGAACTTCATTATCACTTAATTCAGATGGCCTCGAAACTTTAAGAATATGTTTTACATTTTTAATATCAACCTTTTGAAAATATTAAGTCTGTCAACGTGTCTAAAACTTGTAACAAAACTTTTGAATGATGAGATAAAATAATTGTCACCACTCCTATTAGGTAGATAGACTTCAAATGAATCTATTAAATTAACCTCATGTTCTTCGGGATTATCATATGTAAATAATGCATATATCTGACACAGACTAAGTAAACTTCCCTTAAACATTTTGGTACAATTCCTCTAATAAAAAAAACTATGTTAACAAGATTATGGCTTATGTTATATAAATAAATTAAACATTTTACAATATAACTTTTGTCCCTTTTTCATCTTTGAAGGAAGACTCAATTTTCCATTATAAATATAAGACAAAGCCGTAATAACTACAAGTCATGACTGACAGCAGATCAAGATTTCAGAGTATCCCGAATTTCAGATCTTTGGAGAGTATGAGCATTATATTAAAGTCTCCATAACATCTAAATATGAAAAGGCAAAATTATCCTCTTGTTTACATGTGCTGAGTTTATATTCACAATTACCGTTATTTATATTACAGCGAATAATGATCATCATAAACCTTGGCCTATGTTTCAATGCAAGCAATTATATGTACACTGTAATGCGCTAAACCCAATTGTTCCCTCAAATAATATATATTGCCACAAAATTATTTCGTTTTCTAATTCATACACCTAATGTTAGGAAGGATAGAGTGAATTAGTCACTTTACAGGAATAAAGTTTCTCTCAAAAGAATTTAACATTGTGTTTGTCTTAATCCAAACGTTTTAGTTCTTCTGCTGTAATACTAATTGCATACCAAGGAATGTATTAGTCTCTTTCTACTGCAAAATCATGAGTGCAACGCAGTTTTATTCCATATTTTGTTCATACGCCATTAATCATGGAAAAAGTTTCATAGGCAAAAAGATCCCTCAGTTTCTAAACACCAAAATAATAGAGTTCAGAATATACTTAAGCTTGTAACTTATGTGTAGCATATTAATCTAGTCATAATCAAAGAAGACTGCCATGATCTACTGTCACTTTTGCGTCGCCTACTGGTCTAGCGTAAAATGAGATGCGTCCCTAAAGCCAGATCCATGACAAACTTTTTTTTCCATATATCGAAAAACTTCTCTCCAACTCTTTCATCTCAATGGCACACAATTTTGGGAGATCTTTTATGAGTCTGGAACATTTCATTTGATGAACTTCTTCCAGATATTTGGTGAAAAAAATCGAAACTATAAATTCTAAAATGAATAGTTTGGTCAACACAAAGTGGATTTTAAAGCCACAACCATGTGGTCTATTCGACTAATGCTTTTAATGATATCCAGCTTCTATAACTGCAGAGAGCAATTTCTAAGAATGCCCATAGCATATAATAACTTATGTGCACCTTATTTCGAACACCAATCATAGGCTTCCATTGCTAAAACATCCACAGTTTCAACACCAATTACTTTTTGTTTAAGCATCGTCTGCGGCTGCAATAGTATCGTCTGAGCCTGCCATAACAGCAGAAGCAGTAGCACCACTTGTAGTATCAGCAACATCATACGAATCATTGTTACTGTCATGGCTACTGTCATTGTCAGCACTGTCATGTTCATTAGTATTATTAGCAATATTGCTATCATTGGTACTGTCCTGGGTGTCGTCATGACAATAATCTTCATTGACTTCGACAACATAATCATCCACTTTGACTGGATAGCCATCCCCACTATCAGTCGATGCCATTTGAACTTTCAATGGTTTCACAGTGGCAGATTTACGAAATGTCACCTCAGGATGGCGGGTCCGAAATCCCTCAAACCAATCATATCCTGCAATGCCATTACGAAAGGGATGGCTTCTCCCGCTGGCATCAGCAATTTCATAGGCCTTCCTCCTGACGTCTAGGCCTGACACGCCCTTACCCTGCTCTCTACTCTGCTGCATGTACTCCACAATGAGCTGCTCTTCCTCCATAGAGAGAATGGTGCGGGACGTCTTTGTCGTGCCCGTACGGTTGGCGTTATGCTTCCCATAAGGCAACTCAGGGTGACGGTTTTTAAACCCCTCGAACCAATCAGCGCCTGCAATACCATTGCTAAATGGGTGAGACCTACCGCTGTCTTCGGCCAACCTGTATGCCATTCGACGGCAGTCCATCCCTGTCACAGTCTTCCCCGAGGCTCTCTTTTGGAAACAATACTCAACAATCTGCATTTCTTCTTCTGGCATGAGAATCGTTCTAGGACCTGGTCTACAAGATGGCGGCAGCCTCCCAGCAATCCTCCGCTGAATGGCATCTCTAGGTATCCCATAAGCCTCGGATGCTTTACGGATGGACAGCTTTCCCGCTGCAATGGAGTCGCATGCAACTTCCATGGTTTCCTCGTTCCAGTGTCGCCGTGGTGATGGTTTCTAGGCAGCAAGAAGACGCTGAGTGTCACTTTACTACACACAAAATTCTAGATATTTGGATTATTCACAATTTTCTTAAACAAGCTTTTGACCTCTGTTTAGACATGTTGGACTTTACAAAATCAATATCTATCATTCAGTATTATCAAAATATATTAACAGACTCGCAACAGAAAGCAGAGACCAAAAAAACTTAGCACTCTGCTACATTAAACACTTAGCCTTACATATGGAATCTTAAATTCTGAGCGACTACCTTCATTTATTAACAGCGCATCATTATTATTCTTATTGTTTTAACATTTTTGGGCACTTGCCCTCTAGTGCTGCACCGAGATGACCCAAACTATCGACTAACTCTTCACAGTATTACAATTACATATCAGCATCTTGTACCACCACAATTGTAGGAACAGGCATATAATTTCAGTGAGCTAGTACTTACAATTGAAATCCAATGATCCAAGATTCATATTATCTTAATTTTAGGTTATTCAGAGGGTTGGTTAGAAATGAGATGTATTGCTGCATTTTATTTCGAATGTTTCTTTCATTTATTGAAATCTTTATTTGTTTGTCTTTTTTTAATTCATGCGTTTTAGCTGAATTTTGAATGTGGCTGTTAAGCGTGTTGTCTTTTAAGTGTGTACCTTTTCATTTTTGTTCTTTTTTCCCTTTAGCAGTAGCCAGCATAAACTTCAATTTTCTGTTCATTTTTTTTTCTTTTTTTCTTTTTTTTTTTTTGTGACATCATTTCCATAGCCATAACATTTACATCAACCCTCATATCTTTACTCTTTTCAAACAAAAAAAAAAGTTGACAGTAAACCTACCTCTATTTCCTTGTTAATCTGCTTTCTCATGTTCATTGGCTTTGGTTCAAACTGCGGTAAAGTTGGCACAAGTTTTTCTGCAGCCTCTGCGATAGCTGCAATTTGGCTTTCTACGAGAACAGGTGTCGGAATGGGAGAATCACTATTGCGTTTCAGATCAGCATCGTCCTGCAAAAACCAGAAAATTATCTTTTTGATATTCAAAAATAAAGTCAAATTAACAAATAAAGTATGTGCAAAAACAGTGCCAACAGCACATCTGGATGATACATTAGTGGCAAAAAGACAAGAGAAGCTGGGGAAAATATGTAAATAGAAAATGGACAAAAAGTGAAACAAACAAAAATAATATCAACAATTAACAGCAATTACATGGTCAGGAAATGACAGGCTGTTATAAAGTGATTTAGACAGCTTGATTATTTTCACCTTCAGCAGTTAAGCAAATAGCCCAATTTAATTCCTTTATGTCTAATTATCAACAAGCTTAAATATCTAGCAGAATTTTTACAATTCAATCAATCAAAAGCAGAATAAGTGAAAAGATGTTGCTGAAACAATAGGAAAGAATTTTGTGTGGTTTGACATGTAAAAAATTAATTTCTTTGAAATTCATGATAATCATACCTCTATGCTGAAATCATGATATTTCCTTTTTACACATTTCATGAATGTTTCAGTGCTATGAAGGTTAGATCGATAAAATTGTAAAAAGACATCAAATTTAAAATCCAGCAATATGGTTAGAACAAAAGTGATACAATCCTAAACTGAAACTGCACTTTTACTCCAAGTGACAGATGTTGTTTGGAGAAAGTATTGAAGAAGCTTTTGAGTGCAAAAATTCTCCTATCAATGACTTGCCATGTCACTTATTAGAGTGAGCAGAAAATACTGTTGTTACATATTACTAATTTTGGAAATTTACAAAACAATATTTTTTCAAAAGGTTTCACTTCATACCAGTTAAGTGTGACACATGAAAAAGGCTACAATATGCCTACTTTCTACCTTACCATGTATTCCAAAAAAAGAAGAGAGAATTTGTGTGCTTACAGACTTATATGAAAAAGGCGAAAACTTCCAGGTTCAGATAACACAGTAACCGTAACAAGTCAATATGAAAACCAACAGGCACCTAAAATGGCTTATGCAACAGCAAAAAGAGAAAGGAGAAAAAACAAACACACAACAATACCACGTCATAAAGCACAGCAAAACAAAACACAACAAACGCACACGCTACTGGATACCTGGGCTGTGAAGCATATCAGGGACTTTTTGACAACATTATTTAGTTGTTGTTCTACAGACATACACAAGGGACCCCGAAGATCACAGCTAACTCCCTGGAAATAAAACGCATGCAGGAAACATAACTGAGAGAAGAGAAGCAGGGAGGAGAGAGAACGGAACTTGTAGCAACCAACTTACACTTTCAGTTTGCAGCTGAGCTATCAACCTCACCGGCGCAATTAAGAGTTCTGAATTGCAATACAAGTGTTTGACTTTTTCTACCATCTCCAAAGTTTTGTTTTTTTTTTATTTTGCTCAGATGCTAGGTCCTGAAAGTGAAGTTGAGCTTTAAGATAAAAGTGGGTGCAAGACTTGAGAAGGGGGAAAGCGTAGGGGAAGGAGAAAGGGGAGGACAAAACAAAATGAAAACCCTTCATGAAATCTGCAATTTAAACTTCAATCAGGTTGTCTTTCCCGTTACGAAATGTTTGAACCCAACAATCCTGTCAATTATCTCATTTTCTTAAATCACAGATCCAAATATTAATTTATAGTATGTCATCTGAAAGACAATAAAAAGGTTCTGCAGTTTTCACTCTAGTTTACAAAGTAAGTTTGTAAAGGTATACAGCATGCAAGAATACCATAAGACATTATGCTACGGGAACATAGATTCATAAATAAACAAAATATAACACAAAAATTCACTAACACAGCCACATAAAATCCTTCATACAGCTTAGGATTTTTCCAGAAAAACTGTCCTGAAGTCTATGAGCAAGCAGCCACTTGATAAGTCACAGGTGGCAGGGTTAATCTGATATCTGGTCATCTTCGGACCAATTTTAGGCCGATTTATGGTCTAAATTAGCCTGGTCTGAATGCGGCTTCAGCCACTCACTCAAAACACACTCAGGTGACACTTACCTGATGATTGCTGTCTTCTCTTAAATTCAATACTGGCGATAGCCCCGCCCCTCCGCCAGACGGGCTTGGACTAAGAGAGTTGGTCGGCCTGGCTGGCTGAGGATTCCACGTTGGAGCCGTTACTACATTTGGTCCACTACTAGAGGGGTAAATGGCGGAGAGGCCACTTCGTACTGAGGTGGTCAAAGGGCTAGGTTGAGCTGAACCGCCCGAGGTCGGCGATGAACCTGTGTGGGGCTGCTGGAACAGGGCTAGAGGAATAGAATAAAAAAAAATTGTGCAATTCTAAAGATATACAAGAATCAAAGGCTGTATTCAGAACAGTGGACTAACTAGGTCAAATATGGCAAACCAACTAAAAAGCTCGCCATCTAATCAGCTAATAGACACTGAATAGATTCCCTGTGGGAAAGTATTCAAGCTGGTCAACCATATTTGATCTGCAGACTTGTTAGCCGCTGTTGTGAATGTGTCCAAAGAGACAACTTTTGGTAAAACATGCTAATTAAGTAATACATCAATCATTATGCCTTCTATTACTATAATGAATGCTATTAATCACAGGATTTTACTCTGTAACATTTTTATCATTTAGGATGCAGTACCAGTTCATTTCACAATAACTGTGTACTACAAGAGATGGACACATTATTTGTTTATAAGATTCCTTCAGACAAAACAAAGACATTTGCATACTAGTAAGCTTTTTTTTTTTTTTTTTTTGAAACTCATTTTTTTAATCAGTTATTGCCAAGAGGCCCTAGGTGGAAGACTAGAGTAAAATTTGCTTTCAAGTTTATTTTCACAATATAACCAATTATAACTACTTCAAAGCTACACAAATTGTACTTATACACGTCTTGCATTACCATCTCCTCTTGTGACCTCAACCTCAGAGCCATCTAGTGAGTAAAAAAATCTAACAACTAGGAGGACTAATCCTTGGGATGTTTTACCTGGATTTGCCACCCAGTCCTGTAGCGCCTTCTGTAACCTGCGTACATGCAGGGGTTTGCTGGCCATTCCAACGAGCGCCATGATCTCCAGAAACTCTTCCTCCCCCGCCTCGCACAGTTGCTGAACATCATCCCCTCCTACGATTAAAGAGAAAACATTTAGTATTGATGACAAAGGGCATTTTCAGAAGAAGCGGAATGACAAATCTGCAGATCAAATATGGCCGACCCACTTGAAAGCTTGATGCCAATCCCATAATAGTTACTGAACAGATTCGCCATATAATACGTTTTCAAGTGGATCAACTTTGGTTGTGAATGCGGCCAAAATGGCAATTGACTCTAAAGAGATTAAACATTTTTTTATTTTTTTACCTTGGAGGCATGAGATTTCTATCAATCAGGTAGAAATTATGTTTATTCTCTTAAGAAATGGTTTATTATTTTTACAATCATAACCCAAGAGACGATGGAAAACCTACACCACCATAGATGTAGTTATAGATCAGTCAAACCATTGCCAGACTGACAGAAATAATTAAGGTCTTGTTGTGGGGGATATTTACAAACACACATTTATGTCTTTAATTTACCACCATGGGAAAACAAACTGGGTCACACAATCACAAAATGAATAAGAAATAGAAGTTTGTCAATTTTTTCTTTATTTGAAAGTTGATAAAAATTTCGAGATTTCTATACAAATTCAGTGAAAATTATTTCTTACAATTAAGCCAACGTTCCTACACGAGTGACGAAACATCTGCTATAGCAGACGACAGCCTGTGTGGGTAGATAGTAGCAGGGAGGGGCAGGGCCAGGCCACATGTTATCATACATACGTACGTACATACTAGTCACTCAGGAACGAGCTGTACAACATGTGCTGCGGCCTAGAAAGGGATGTCACACAAGAATAAATATGTCACCCTGGTTACAAAATATATATTGTATGAGCCATGCGTGCTGTAACAAAGAATCGCAGCATCCAGGAACATATGTTTATTATACATTTATTGGGTTTGTATGACAGTGGTTTATAGGACATGTTATCTCAGAGAGTTTTTTTTGTTTATTTTAACTTATGCATTATGTTTCTTCAGAACAGTGTTTCTCTCTCTCTCTCTCTCTCTCTCTCTTTCTCTCTCTCTCTCTCTCTCTCTCTCTCTCTCTCTGTTTGCTTTCAGGTTACTCTCCCTTGTACATCCACTACTTACACACTGTTACACACATATATGTACATTTTTTCTTTAGATTCACCATTTCATTCAGTTAAACCAGATTAATTTCACCCTCACCCCTCCCCCTTGTCCTCAGTACATATCTGTGATAACTTAACATGTCTGTATACTGTGCCCCTACCGCTATTATAAGATAACTCAGGCTGCACAATGAAGCACGCATGGTAGAGAAGACAATTCACGTTATCAGCTGACGCACCCCCAGGTCAGGACAAGCAGTGGTTGTCAGTGCACCGAGCAGATAAGCTGTGGTCAGGAGCATGATGGGAGGTTTTCGGCACGAAAATTCTCTCTGTTGACTTAATACAAATTTTGCTGATATTCATAAATCACAAGTTTTATCACTCTTGATGATTGACTTTTATTGATAAAATTCATATTGTTTTTTCAATAATATTGAACCACACATCAGTTTTAACATGTCACCTGTTCCTCTTATCAAGAACATACAAGAAAAATTACTTCCTTGCTCCCAAAGGTTGGAGGTAATAGGAGGAGAGGGATTACACTGAGTTTATCATTAATGTAAAATGCCCCCCCCCCTCTCCTGCCTTTTTCAAAGAATTGTCTTCTCTGCTGCATGTACTTCATTGTCTTATATCTAACACCTGGCACAGACAAACAATAAGGATACTACAGTCACATGACAGACCCCACTGGCCCTTGGTCTTCAGGTGTGTGGCCCCCTTTCCTACAGGTCAAAGGACATTCTTAGTGCTTTCCCCCCATTCACTGCCATGCCCCCTTCAACTATTTTCAAATCGTGCTGTATGCTTATCTGCATCGCAACATTTTGAGAGATAAACTTGCAAGAACAGGGGGATAATATCTGCTGTCCCTAATGAGCTTAAATTGACAGCCTAAAAAAAAAGGAAGGTTCCAGAAAAGGCTGACCTATCTTTCGCCTACACAGTCACAATATGTTAATACCTGTAAATGCCTCACCCCTTCACACATGCGCACGCGCATGCACATAGCACGCGCACACATACAAACACATCCTTACTATTAAGCCATAATTTTCATATTTCTAATTATTACATATTAACAATGCTGTCAAGCCAGACCATAAATAAGAATTGACAAGAGCAATTTCAAGACCACTGCTTTAAATGTTCCACCTATTTTCATTAAAAAAAAATCAATTGAGTAGACCGACATAAGTAAACATAACACAATAAAATGATTTAGTAGAAACATTTCAATTATTGATCACCTCTCTAGAAAATACAAAACACTTTTTCTTTCAGCAAATGTGGAGTTTTGTATGTTTTTACTCGGCATTTCATTATTTACCACCCATATTATTACCCAGCACTAAGACAACACCGCCAGCTGCCACCATGAAGGCATGGCTTGATTTCAAATATTGATATTTGTTAGGGTTTTTTTTACCCTCCATCTTCATCTCTCTCTGTCTTCACTCCAATTTCTGGCGTGTGTGTGTGTGTGTGTGTGTGTGTGTGTGTGTGTGTGTGTGTGTGTGTGTGTGTGTGTGTGAGAGAGAGAGAACATAAGAATTCTAGGCCAGAATGAAAACAACACTACTGGTGAAAAAAAAAATCAGAGCACCACAAAGGTATCCATATAACAAGGCAGTATACGGAGTACAGAGTCTCTGCCACAGGGGTCATGTCAAGAGACCCCCTATGCAATTAAACTGTAATGTTTTGCCAAGGGGGTAATTTATGCTGTGGATGTGGCCAGCTAATCACTTCCAAACTCAGGGGTAATATCTACTAGAGCCCTGTTCACACTGGGCTCAGTTGACACGGATCTGAATCAATCAAAACCATAAATGATCAATCTTGGTTATTTCAATCAATAAGGGAATCAAATAGCTAACTATGCTATATATGGCTCTCTCTTTCTTCACACTTTTCATGGAGCATTAAACGCCCACACTAGCTGTGAGGCAAGTAAATCAGTCTTGCACCCAATAAGCCATGGACGTCGGTTCAGATAAGAACTGCCTAGCCCCGTGTGAACGCGTCAACAGAAGACGGAGGCCTGCCTAATCACCCCGCAGCTCTGACACGGCTCATGAAATATTCACACTGGCGGTTGTTCCCTGGGTTGCAGAATACTCCCAGTTTAATATGACGCCAGTCAGGGATGAAAAATGGTGGTGAACAGTCTACACACTACAGATCTATAGAAAATAGGCAAACAGTGAGAACATATCTGACCATTTTATTTAGATGGTCAACTTAACATTTTTTACATAACAGTCACAAGTTCCCCCCCCCCCCAAATAAATAAATAAATAAATAAATAAATAAATAAATAAATAAATAAATAAATAAATAAATAAATGGAAAATATTACTACAATATTTTATCATAATTTAAGTAATATTCTCCTTTTCTCCAGCTGAATTAGTTTATCTCTAAACTACTAGTGAACATCTGTAAAGGCAGCACCACCCCTTCGTGCCACGTACAGCAATATAAGACAAAACCACCAGCAAGGACACAGAGAGAGATACAGAGAATGGGAAATAAAACCCACACCGCCCACAATCCATCTCCCCACAAACGTCATGAAATGAACAGCCAATGCAAGTCTTTTTATTAAAGCAGGCCGCAGAAATGTGGGTATGGCTTCCAAACATGGATGCTCTCAATAAAGGAGATTTTGGTTTTTTGGGTTTGAGACACCTTACTGCGTTAATCAATATAATTACTGGCCTTCCTTGGGCACTGAACAGATTTTGGCCATTCACTACGAGTTTTGAAAACATGTATAGATCAAGAGCAACAAGAGGAAGCTCAGATTATTTCACTAATACCAGCATTTTACCCAAGTTTAAGAGAGCTATCTTCCTCTTGGCTGCTGCCACTGATTGAACTTTCGCAGCACTGAGTTGCCTGATGTTCCTTCAGGTGACTTTTAAATCTAATGGATATTAAAATATAAAGGGGTGAACATTTCTTTTAATAGCTGACACCCAAGAATGGTTATATACAGCTTTAAATTAATAGAAAATGTCAATGTGGTTAACCACCAAAAATAAGCTCTAGAACTTGTTTCACCAAGGACAGAATTATGTTCACAAATTAACATCTGAACTTTGGAGTTTGTCTGAGGCAACAGAACAGCATAGTTGTTGCTTAAATTATTCATAATGCATAGTTTTAAATCCTACAGAGAACATGTCTCAGATATTATTTATCAGGATATCTACAAGTATCCATGGGGACTGTTACACAAGGTGGGGGTGGGGGGTCATTGAAATCTTCCTGCAGGCTTTTATTTATTTATTTATTATTTAATTTATTTATTTTTATTATTTATTTTTATTTATTTATTTATTTATTCATTTTATTTTATTATTATTATTATTATTTTTGCAGCCAGCAAGTTCTTTTTTTTTTTCATGCATTGTTCAATACACTGGAGGCATACACAGACATAAGAATATTATACAAGTTTCCTTTTTTTATTCATTAATATCTATTAATTTATTTAAAAATGTTCTTGTTGGCTGGTTTGTCATTGATTTAAGTCAAAAGTTTATTCAGATCTTTTCAAAAGAAGTGATTGAGGAAAAAGCACTGCGAAAGGATTAATCACAGCAGCCGAAGACTGTCGTGACGCCAGGAAACCCGCCAGGAAATTCTCAAGGAAAGGTTACGGTTCGTCTTAACCAGAGAAACCATTGGTGTGGCCTTATTAGCCTCTACCCAGACCCAGAAGTGACATTCTAAGCCAGCGCTGACGCACAGTGGGGATATATTCATCCCACACCATCCTGGAGATAATCGATGCCTTCGTTCATCAGGGGGCCTCCTCAAAATATCCCTGGTTTCTGTTCCTCAGGGGGCAGCTCAATATAGCCGCCGTCTAGGTTGGCAGAGCCTCAAGTGAAAGCCAGGGGACCAGGAAGAGCTGAGT